TTAACCACTTCTTGAGATTAGATTGCAGCAAGAGTAACCTTCTCAACTTCAATACCACCTGCTTCTTATAGTCTCCAGGTTGATCTGGCTGCACATAATATCTCTTTCAACAAACTAATGCATACATGAAATCTCTCCACTGTGCACTTTTTTACCTGTCTATAAACAACGTACTAAAGAGTTGGGTAGTTTTTGTGGTGGAAATAGGAACTCTTGTTTCTGTATTACCAGTGAGAGTTTCATTCCTCTCCTTAAGTTCTAGTTTTCACTAACTGTCCTAATATAAAGTGTCCAAAGAACGTTTGTTGATGTTCCTCGGGGCTTTTTCTACCCCTTAAGTTCTCTTTGCCATTGTTTCTGAAATAATTCCATTTTATAAAAGCTTCGATAATGATGTAAATCGAGAAGCTGATGACTTGAAAATATATATCTGCCTTACCTGTCTGCTGGATGGTGTAGGAAGAGAATCCTGAGAAAACCTAACTTTTAAACTTTTAGAGTGGCCATTTATTTTCTTGTGTTGACCCTTTGTTCTAATAGTAACTAGCATCATGAATTACTAGAATGATGAAATTCAATGGTAATTAACAAAAAGTGTGATGCTTTAATCAAGGAATTTTCTTCCATCAAAATAGACATGTTCTGGTGTGGGCTAATTTGAGTTACTAAATTATTGTCAACAACAGTGGCAAATAATATGCAGGTTTATATTGTTTTCTCTTCTTGCTAGCGTCTTTTTTTATTTCTGCAGACTTCTCATCTTACTTGGTTTATTTTCCTTAGTGCTCCAATAGGCCAAGGTTATGGTCTTACCGAGACCTGTGCTGGTGGAACATTTAGTGATTATGATGATACTTCTGTTGGACGTGTTGGTCCTCCACTTCCTTGCTCGTACATCAAGGTAAAGTAGAATAAGAAGAGTCAAAGCTTCACATTCCTCTATATCCGTGTATACTGCTGTATTCATTACTTCATTTGTCTGACCAAATATGAGAATTACCCCATTTTAAGGTCAAGAATATGCACTTCAAACTTCAAGAAAGAATTGTAGTAATCTTGTTACTTACATCTCTCACATTTATTTGTTAAATCCTGTGGATTGCATTTTATCTTTTATGTAATGCTCTTGTTCCTGTGCCTATCGTTATATGGTTTAAGTTTCCGATGTTTACCTTGTAAGTTGACAGAGTAGGAGATAATTATGCAATTAAGAAAATCACCCCATTTTCAGGTGAAGAATTATGTATTTCAAACTTTCAGAAAGCATTATAGTAGTCTTGTTGCGCACATTTCTCACATTTATTTGTTAAATCCTGTTTTTTTTTTTCATCTTTTATGTAATGCTCTCGTTCCTGTGCCTAACTTTATATGGTTTAAGTTTCAGATGGTTCTATTGTAAGTTGATAGAGTACTAGATCATGATCCATCACAACATTACAGTTTTTGTACTTCAAGGGTGTGCTTGGTACGAAGGAAAATGTTTTCTTAAAAAATGTTCTCTGGGAAAATAAGTGGGTTTCCTACTTATTCTCTTGTGTTCGGTATGTAACAAAAATATAATTATCCTAAAAGCATTTGTCTATAATCTAGAGAAATACTATGAGGGGTGGGGGTGGGTAGGTTTGGGGATGGGGGCTACATGGGAGGGGTGAAAATGAGGTGCTTACAATGCCCACTTGGGAATTCATTTTCCTTAATTTTAAGGTACTTGTTTTCCTAGAGAAGATGTTCTCCAAACCTTTAACCAACCGAACATGAGAAAATTGGAATCTCTGTCCCCTCCTGAATCAAATTTTTCTAGCTTTCACCAGATAATACTCTTAATTAATGTAGTACTTTCATCTGTAGTTGATAGATTGGGCTGAGGGTGGATATCAAACAAGTGACTCCCCAATGCCTCGAGGTGAAATTATTATTGGTGGTCCAAATGTTACCCTTGGATATTTCAAAAATGAGGAGAAGACGAAAGAAGTGTACAAGGTACTAATTGCTCTAAAATTGTATGCTCCGATGAGTATTAATGTTACAAATGTGACTGGTCGATAAATTACAAATTCTTTTTATGATGTACTAAGGTTGACGAGAGAGGAATGAGCTGGTTCTATACAGGTGACATAGGGCAATTTCATGCAGATGGTTGCCTTGAGATAATTGACCGTAAAAAGGACATTGTTAAACTTCAACACGGGGAATATGTTTCCTTGGGAAAGGTGCGATCTAGTATCTTTGCTCTAGCATATGAAATATATGCACATTGTTAGATGAATGTCTCCTGGTTTCACTACCCCAACTCCCCACTTCTCTTTTTTTTCATTTACTCATGTGGGAGTTGATATGTCATGTGCACCAGGTTGAGGCTGCTCTTATTGTCAGTTCCTATGTTGATAATATAATGTTGCATGCCGATCCGTTCCACAGTTATTGTGTAGCTATAGTGGTGGCTGCTCAAGCTGCTGTGGAAGACTGGGCTAGGAAGCATGGAATTAACTTTGTCGATTTTCATGAGTTATGTCAGAAGGAAGAAACTATCAAGGAGGTCTATGCTTCCTTAGTGAAGGTATTTCTCATACAAGCAAAGTTATTGAGTTTCTTTCTGTTTTCAATTATCATAAGCAAAGATGTATTTTCCTATTTGACCATTTGTCTGCTAACATTCACATTTGTTGGATTAACTGGTTTTGGCTTGTTTGAGCATTTCGACTCCATATTTCCGGAGTTAAATCCTTTGTTGTTTAGACTGCAGTGTGAAATATTATGGTTGCTCTAATTCATTGAACTTGTGTCTTGTACAGGCAGCGAAGGCTGCTCGTTTGGAGAAGTTTGAGATCCCAGCAAAGATCAAGTTGCTATCGGAAGCATGGACACCAGAGTCTGGGCTTGTGACTGCAGCTTTGAAGCTGAAGAGGGATGTTATTAAGAAGGCTTTCTCACAGGAACTAGCTCAGTTATATTCATCATGATTGATTGATTGATTTACAGAGATAGCAGCTCTTTTCTTTTAACAAGACCCCCACCCCAAATTTCTTCAATAAATATTTGTAAAATTATAGCTTTTTTTATGTGCTTTTGTTTTTGTTTCAAGTATCCTTTTTGAGCAACAGTTTAGTGAGTGAATGTAGCAAAAAAGGTGAAGGTTGAAAATATCATTAAAAAAAATGCAAATCCCATGAATTCCAATTTGAGATGAAGATCACACCCAAGTTGTCAAAGTCAACAAAAAAGTATTAAAATGACACAATTTAATCTTACATTAGGTATATTCAAAATACGGAAAAGGGTTTAAAATATCCTCAAAGTATTGGAAATGGTACAAACTATTCGCCATCCACCTATTGCCTCTAAAATATTTCTCACCCATTTATTGGGTCCAAAATATACTTGTCATTTACCTTTTGGTTCAAAATTAATCACTTATTTAATAATTTTATATTTAAACTATTTAAATATTTTTTTAAATACGTGACGCTCAACTATTTGTTATAATTTAACTTATTAGTATAATTTATAAATCAATCCACTACTCACTCATTACTAATTAAACTCCTCCAAATTAATAAACCTGTCACATTATTAATACAACAACAGAAACGCTACTGCCAATTGAGTGTTTTTAAAAATTTGAGGCGAAAATATCTATAGAAGTAAATTATCATACCTTTAAGTGTTTAAATAAAAATTACCGATAAACTTAAAAGTTTGATTATGTTCATCTTAATTATTCTTACGTCTCAATTATGTGATATTACTTAACAGGTAACTTTTTTAAAAAAATAATATATTAAAGGTTTTAAAACAAATCATAAATATTTATAAAATTATATTCTAAAAAAGTGCATGAATTAATTCGGGATGAATTACTTCTTTACCTTTAATCATAAATTTCTAATTCAAATCTTGAAAGAGAATCCTATTGAAAGTGTCCTCCTAAATAACCGGCTCAACCTATATTTAGTTGGGGCTTCGATTTGGACTCGAATAATTTTGGATGTCATTTTCAGTATTCTATAATTTCATCTTGTTTTAGTAATGTTTATGACGATTTTGATATTATAATTGAATTATTAATTGGGTGGGATTTAGTTAGTAATGAGTGGATAGTGGGTTGGTTTATAAGTTATATTAATAAATTGAATTATAATCTAACAGTTGAACGCCAAGTATTTTAAAAGATATTTAAAGAGTTTAATTTTAAAATAATTAAAAAAAGTAATCAATTTTGAAGCTGAAGGTGGACGACAAGGGTATTTTGGAGCCAATAAGTGGATGAAAATGACATTTTGGAGCCAATCGGTGAATGAAGGGTAATTTTATACCATTTGCAATACTTCAAGGGTATTTTAGGCTCTTTTCCATTCAAAATATATACAAGAGTAGTATTGTCAATTTCAGAAAATTGCTCCAATTTTTATTTTTAATCTAAAATGAGTTGAGTAAGCATATATGAATTAATGGAATATGTCGTTTAAAATCGAATCGAAATCGATAATTTGAATCGAAATAAAGTTAATGATTTATCAATATGAGTTATTAATTTAGCGGTTTTGATTTTTTTGGTTATCGGGTTATTGATTTTTAACGGTTTGAGGTTTTTTCTACGGATTAACCGATAATCCAATAGTGAATTAAATAATTATATTTATATCATTTTGTACATAAAGTTTTTGACTTAGAGTTCAGTTTTCTATTTTTATTTTTGATTGTCTCGAACACTTGCTATTCTACAATGAGCGAGATGTAACTTGTGAAGTTAAGTGAATGATTGATTTGATTTGTCACATTGTTTCTCTTAACAATATTTATTTTGATAAATTTTTAAAAGTTAAATCGATAATAATAAAAAAACCACTAAATCAAAAATTAATAAGTCAAATGTACAATTTAATATTTTTCTAAATCTATAATTTAAATCGAAATAAGTGGATGACTAAACAAAAAAGCTGACCATTTCTTATTTCAGTCGTAGCTAAAACCGAATTGGTAAAGCAGGCATGCAACGAATATTGCGACGCGTGACAAAGTCCTCCAGCTGTAGCCTTAACTATAAATAGAAATAGAAGTTTCAAGTAGCTCACTTTGCTAAGATAAATTATTATTATCACAAACAAAAAAAGGTGTAGTGATGCAGAAAATCCAAATTATTTTCTTGGTTTTCTTGTTATTGTTTGTTGCAGATTGTGAAGAAGCAAAAGTGTACATTGTTTTTACTGAAAACCCTCAACCTAAGGAGTTTCATATCAAGACCTTAGCTTCTGTTCTTGGCAGGTTCTTCTTTTTCTTCTCTTCTTCTAATTAATTTCTTTTTGGGTATACACACATCACGTATGTGAGATATAATGCAACAATCGCATTTGATTGGACGTATTAGAGTGAAGAGGTGAACCCAAGATTTGAAGGTTTTGGATGCACCTGTATAAACATACTTCAAATATAAGGTCTAAGCTAAAGTTAAAATAAAAATAGGCTTAAGTGGGATCTAAACCCTGATCTAGATAGTAGTAACTCTAACTTCTACCAATTGCACTAGGGCACTTTTATGCTTTTTATGGGTGCACTGTTAACTATATATTAATTTCTATCGGTTTTCAAAACTAGATACATATATACATGTAATTTTTTCGGAAGTTACGGGGTGCACGTGCACCCCGAGCTTAGTTGTTGAGTACTAAGCATTGCTTGGTTATATGTCTTTGATCAGCTGATTAGTTTTTGAGTTTGCAGATACCTTTTTCTTTTCTTTTTTCATTATAGTATCGTTGCATTTCTATTATTCGGTATACGTAAGATTGAAATACTAGACTGATCTTTGTGTAAAAAAAAGTGAGGATGCTGCAAGGGAGGCTTTGATTTACAGTTACAAGCACGTGATCAGTGGGTTCGCGGCCAGGCTGACTCCTGAGCAGGTCTCTGAGCTTGCAAGTAAGTTCTATTGATTCAGTTGAACCCCCGTAGTTCCGCCCCTGACCTGAACACTACATGATTCAATGATTTGTTTTGGAATGAATAAGAAATGATGAGTTCACAAACTTATGCTAGGCCGGTCTAGACCCCCCTCTTATTGGTATCTTTGTAGATCTTATACGAAAAACAATCAGTCTTAAGAATGATTTTTAAGCATCTTCCGTTCGTTTATTTAGTTTGATAAACCTTATAACTGGTTCCGGAGACAGTATGCAGATCCAGATTTTCTTTTTGCCCGACCATGATTTCGAGTCATAACTCATTGGCTTTATAGCTTAACTAAGTTATAACTTTTTTCTTTGGCAGAAAAACCTGGGGTCTTGGAAATTGTCCCAAGCAGAACATACCATTTAGATGGACCGAAGCTTAAGTGAAAACCAATTCTTGTGACTCCATCGCCAAACCAATTTACCTTGATATGTGTACGTATAAGCTCGTGATATATGATATGCATACACAAAGGGAAGTTTGTTCCGCGAGTGCAAACTTGGTGATGTGACTCTTGTTTAAATAAATGAAAGCAAAATGTGTTCAACATGTGATACAAAACATAGTACATAGACGTTTCCTTCTGACATCTATGCCCTCCAACTTTGGATAGTATAGACACTTAAACTTAGAACAAATAGACGCACATATTCTACTCGGAGAGTTACAATAGAGAAATGCATGTGTGATTAACTCCTCTGTTGTTTTCTTCAATCATTGTATATGAAACTCATTTGACTAAATGCAGAAGTGTAACCCCCATCGATAACTAGATTATGTCCAGTTACAAAACCAGATTCATCACTAGCTAGAAACAACACAGCTTGTGCTACATCTTCTAATCTTCCACCCCGCCCACGTAGAAGACTTCCTCTTTCCCCTACAATCAAACTCACTTCATTAGGCCTCAGTTCTGTATTACCAAGAAACTTTTGAAACTCACTCACAAGCATCTCAGAAGGAACACCATGAGGTGAAATACAATTAACTCGAATCCCGTGAACCCCTAGCTCACAAGCTGTGCTTCTTGCAAGTCCTAAGATTGCCTCTTTAGACATTGTGTAGGAGTGAGATGCCAATCCTCCCATAATAGCAGCTGAACTTGATGAACATATGATCGTGCCTCCACGTTTACCTGCACCATTAACATATGTTTGTCTGATTTTGACTTGACACGACACAGAATTATCTCAAAGTAGAGAGGTACGTTATTGACTCGTTCAAAAGTTACTTGCCTGCTATCATTGTTCGGGCAGCATGTTTGATGCCATGAACAACTCCATGAAGATTTATAGCAAGGAGTGTCATCATCTGATCCATTCTGATATTTGTAATGCTTCCTCCAAAGCCTGCAATTCCAGCATTGTTGAACATGATGTCTAATCTTCCTTTCCATTCAACTGCAACTTTAACAGCTGATTCAACTTCTTCTTCTTTCGAAACATCACATTGAATGTAACGACCTCCAATAGATTCAGCTAAACTTGTACCTACTTCATTCAGTATATCTGCAATCACAACATGAGCTCCATTTTCCGCAAAAACTCTTGCTGTTGCTGCTCCTATTCCTCTCGCACCGCCTGTTATAACCGCAACTTTTCCCCTCAACCTGACACATTTCAAAGAGTTTAAGTTCTATACACTAACTGACTGACAAACGATTAGTAATATAATTTAAATTCAATGAAATGCCAGTAAGTATAGGTTCAAAGTTTGTATTGAATATCAAAGAGAAAATGCATAAGTACTCTCGACCTATGCCCGAAATTTCAAAGACACACTTATACTATACTAAGGTTCTATTACCCCTTAAACTTATTTTATTGATAATTTTCTATCCCTTTTCAGCCTATGCATGTGACACTATCAACCAGGTAGTTAGTTTGAAAAAAATTATCAGCACGCCTTGGGGCAGAAGATAGTGCAACGTAGGCTGAAAAAGGATAGAAAATTATATTACAAAATAAGTTCAGAGATAATAAATCTTTAATATAGTATGAGTGTGTCTTTGAGATTTCAGAAATAGATTGGATGGTACTTGTAGATTTTCCCAATATCAAAATACTAACCTTTGGGGGGACAATATTTGGACTAAAGTATCCTTTGTGTCACTAGTATTGTTATCCATTTTAATCCAAGTACAAGATAACAACAATTGAAATTTAACAAAATGATCAAAGATATTAACTATGTATAAATACTAAATAATTTGCAAGTAAATTCCAGTGAAGAAAATGTGATCAAGTATATTAGTAGCAAAGGAAAAATAGGTTTGTCATATATATTTTGTTTTACAACTATATCCTACCAGAAATATTTTTTTTGTTACACATAAGGGGTGGAAAATGCATTTCATGCCTAGATTTTCCATTTGCAAAATATCAGTTTGAAGGGTACATTAATTATTTTTAAAAGGAAAAATGGTACATAATAACAAATTATTAATTTAAATTAAATGTTATAACTATTGTTTGATTTAATAGTGTCCCGTAACAAACTGTTGTCAGTTGCCTCTCTCTAGAATTTTCGATCGTCACTCTCCCTCTCTCTTTCGCTAGTCTCTCCCTCGCCTCTCTCACTTTATACAAACAGAAATGTATAAATTATGTTCTATTTGTATAAAATGAGAGAAAATTGTATATACACATGCAAATATTTATATTTTCGTCATATACACTTATAATTATCCAATACAATTATTTCTCTTCAAAGTTTTCTTTTGTCTTTCTCTCTTTCTCGCTTTATATAGATATAGATTATACAAAATATAACGTATAATTTATGTTTGTATAAAGCGAGAGAGAGAATGATATACAAACGTTTTATTTCGATTCAATGGTATACAAATTTAAATTTTATACATATATACAAACACATAAAATTGAATTGAAAGGTTGGCTACGATTTATATTTGATATACAAACATTTTATTTCTATTCAATTATATACAAATTCAAACTTTATACAAATATACAAACACAGAAATTGAATTGAGAAACTGTTAAAGATTTATACAAACAAGGGGCTGACAACAATTTATATGGCCTGCTGTGAAGTTATACAAATATGAAGAGGAGTCAGCGAATTGTACAATTGCTTTTTTTGTATATATGTATAGCAAAATAATCTAGCTTCTTTTGTATATATGTAGAGCAAAATAATCATAACATGTTTGATATGGAGCATAATTATTCAAATTATAGTTATAATATACAAATATATTTTTTATATTTGCTATATGTGAAAGTTATTTTTTTTAAAAAGTCTGATGATAATCTTTAATTTATATGAGCTTTCAAGTTTAACATTTTGAAATTTTACAGAATGATCACATATGAAATCTGAATAGTGATATGTTTCATTTTTATCTTTAGAAATTACTAATATCAGTTGTATGCTTTTTGTTAATTTTATACTTTCGTTCGTTCTCTTTCAATTGTCATATTGCGTTTAATTTGTCTAATTTTTAAAATTAAATTAAATTACGTTAATTTTTTTTAACTATATTCAAAAGACAATATGAAAAGTGTTATAAATTACAATTTTTTATATATTAATGTGATGAAAAAATATATCGTAAAGCGTTAATCAAAATTCTTATTATTTGACTAGTCAAAATTCTTATTATTTGATTCTAAAAAAAAAAATATGATAACTAAAAGGGGTGGTCTTAAAGACGTATAAGTTTTATCTTTCCTATAAAATTAAAAAAAAAAGGATAAAAAGAAGAAAAATTCAAAGTGTTTCCACTTAATAATGTGAAATACAAATATGAAGAGGAGTCAGCGAATTATACAGTTGCTTCTTTTGTATATATGTATAGCGAAATAACTTAGCTTCTTTTGTATATATGTAGAGCAAAATAATCATAACATGTTTGATATGGAGTTTAATTATTTAAAGGAAAAAATTGTATATAATAGCAAACTAATAACCTAAAATAAATGGAGTAGCTAGAGTTTGTTGTGCTCCATAGCAAACGTTTTGCAAAAAATTGTCAGGCGTCTCTCTCCCAAATATCTCGCTCGCCACTCTCCTCCAATCTCTCGCTCGCTTCCTCACTTTTTATACAAACGCAAGTGTATAAAAATTATTTGTAATTGTATAAAGCAGAGAAAATTGTGTAAATAGATATATTTTTGTTCCCCTCTCTCCCCTCTTCCAGATCTCGCTCGCCACTCTCCCAAATCTCGCTTGTCTCCCTCGCCTTTCTCACTTATAC